GTCCACATAAGTGATTGACTGATGGCGTGACGTCGGCCCAGCGTAGCCATCTTGAATCGGACCCCTGCTCCCTCCTAAAAACAGTGAGCCCACCAACCTTGCACCCTCCCCCTTTACTGTTTCCATTTTGTTTTTTTTTTTTGTATAAGTTTAGTGCTGGCGTCAAGGGTGGGGAGTGGGGTCGCGAGGGGTCCTGGCTTTTAGTCGGTGCAGGTTTACGAGGTGCAGACGCCGCCGCTCATCTGACAGATTATGATGATTCTTCTTGTTACTTGCATTGAGTTTACGGCCACTTGTGATGCTAATAAAGGACGCCAGCCGGTGAACGCGTGACCACTTGATACAAGACATACTCACGCACACCTGTGGGGACGCTTACGCGACAGCACGGTGTACTAGCGGGGAGCAAGTCCCATATCGCATCCGATGTTCAGGTTTCACGAATCGGATTTTCTGGCCCACATTCCGAAGATCGCTCAAAATGGACTCTCCGCACGTCCATCTCCGTGTTTGGGTTACAACACATTAAACTATTTAATAATGCGCACCGTCTGCCGGAAATTCGTCACGGTACTGTAAATGACCTATTACCCTTTGTACACACAGGTCCGTGTGTATGTAGACGTGCATGGCGTTTTTTGTTTTTTTTAAAGACGCTCTCAACTTAACTTTGTTTAGAGTGCACAAAAACAGTAACAAAGAATGAATAAAATAGAACAGATAGCCTTTATGGTCACATTCCGTTTTGCAGATGCAGCAAAATTGAGGTGATTGAAACAAAAATACAGCCAAGAATTAAATAAGACTAATGACAAGCATATACTTAGGGAAGGGTGGAACTGCCAATGAAGAGCAAATATTTTTGACTAGGAAATACATTTGAGCACATTTGCAAGTACGTTGGAACATACTTGTAGGACAAACAGTGTGTTGACTTGCGCAAGCAAAAGAAGCAATTTATTTTTTTTACGTTTAGCCAACATCATACCGGTATGTTCATAATTTAATTCAATGTTTATTCATAATTTTTATAATTGCCTGCAGTGCATGATTTCTTCTCTGCCTTCTAACATGACACAGGCTATGCACATGTGCAAATCAATCATCAAAATTGAAGAAAAAAAAATTGCATGATGATAGCTGTACCGGCGACCAATCTGTTTATCTATACAATAACGTGACAGCTCTGTTTTTCACCAACATGTGACCTTGGCTTGCAACTAATTCATTGTTTATACACACACGGACTGGCGGACAGGCCATTGTGTATTATCTTGACCTGCACAGACACTTGCTGGCGACCAGTCTCTTGCTCTTCATGTCATTCCGAGGATTACACCACTTGTCTCATTCAAAAGCAGCCGAGATAGACGCCAGCGCTTCTGCGAGCCAAATGACAGGAGCAATCGAGGAAAAACGATTTTAATCGCAACATAAAAAGGTATGTCCAAAGATAACGTGACAAATTACCCACAATTCCTTGCCATCGGCCACTTGTCCCAATGACATGTCGACAGAAGTCCGGGTGCCATGGCAACACTGTCCTCATGCAAAATAATGCTTGTCCGTGATTGGTCATCACTCAAGACGGAAAGTGGACAACATTTAGTCTCGGGGTGGACTCGCTTTCAACGGACAACAGTGTTTAGCATCCTGGCACGGCGAGTAGGCGTCTTTGCAGGGGTCCGATCAGCTAGAGGGAACCTGCTTGTGTATCCAGCGTCGCTTCAGGTTCTCCGCTTTGCTCTTTCGCTCGGGAGCTGAAGGAAGACAACATGTTACAAAAACAAATCCCAAAAGGGTTTTGTTTTCCGTTTTTTTTTTTTTTTGCCTTACCCCAATTGCTCTTGACAAAGCAAAAGGCTGCGCCTTTGGTCCTCGCCGTCTTATTTTGAAGGGACAGCATCTCGTTGGCTGACAAGAAGACAAAGGATAGCATAATTGGATGGTTTTGTTCATGCTACCTTCACTGCTTTTGCAGCGATTCAAAATTGCATGCAACGGCCAATCAAAAAACGGCACTTTGTATCACGAATCATCCATTCCAAAGTTTACCACAAAGTGTAGCCTGCATGGAAAATTGAACTTGGCATCACGCTTACTGGTGGTACGGCAACTTCCCGCGCCATAAAGCCGCGAATGGAGGAAATCCTCGGCCGCCTTCTGCTGAGAAGACGCCAGTGTTGGAGGTTTCACTGTCGTCACTTCGTAGTTCCCCTTCAGCCTGAAAAGAAAACGAAAAATCTCAGTGACAATCAGGTCACTTAATAATTGTAAAGTGGCACTTTTTTTTTCGTACATTCTGGAGTGTTTCAGTTTTTGCTTTGTTTTTTCCTTCTGATCTTCATCCTCATCTTGATGCCTCGTGTCAGCTTCTTGCTGGCTCTGCCTTTTGTTCGAAAGAAGAATAAAATTATCATCTGAATGTCTGAGAAAAGATTATCAAGTGGAGGAAACTTACTGTGACGAGTCGATTTCCTCCAAAAGTTTGGCAGAAATAAGTTTTCTCTTCTGCCATGTGAAAGAAAGATTTATTACTCTAAAGTTAAAATAGTCAACTTATTCGACTTGAAATGAGAGGCACCTTCTGCTCCTGGAACAGTTCCAACCTCTTCTTCCTCTTCTCCTTCAGCAGGTCCTTCTCCCTGGAAGCACACAAAACCTCAAGAAATCTCACTGCGCACTACAAACCTCATAGACCAACCTGGCAATTTGGCCTTCACTTGATCACTTTTTACTCCGAAGACCTTTCACATCTCAACTCAACTCAACTGTATTTATAGAGCACTTTCAAACAGCCATCGCTGCATACAAAGTGCTGTACATGGAGCAAATTAACATATACAACAAACAGAACTTTAGCAGCACCTATTATTATTTCAGATACGTTCTTCACATCGGCAGTGGTGTAGTCAGAAGAAGTTAAAGCGTTATAATCAGAAACCTGTGTCCCTGACAGACTTGTTGTTTGTTGTTCTCCAGACACGGCTTAGCCTGGATGGCTAGCCTGCTAGCAGTTATCCTACCTTCGACCATTTTCCAGGGCCTGTTTGACGCTGCGGAGCGCCTGGGCCTTAGAATCCTCAAAGGTGACCTCATCGGGTGCGTCGTCGTCGCTAGAGCCTAATTCCAATCCCCAACTCTCCATGATCTCTTCACTGTCCGCTTTGGACAAGCTGTCTGTTACACCACGTTTTTTGGGCGCCATATTGGGGCGGTCCCGAACTGGAAAGGCTGTGTGACGTACGTTCTTCGAAAATAACACATTTCCGGTACACCGAAAATGTTTGTTTTTTTGGATAGCCCACACGAAAGTAGAATCTTTTAAGGCGCTACTGGGTTCACAGTTTTATTGTTACCGTTATACAGATCAAAGTTGGCTGTTATTAGAGATGGGTTAAGGAAGTCATTTGAAACTTTTGACGCCTTTGCCATATTGATTTGGATAAAGAGTCAACGCCTTATATAAAATAGACCACACCGGTGACATCTGGTGGTCAGTTGTGTTCATAGCAGCTACAATCCTCAAAGTGATTTTCATTCATCCATCCATTTTCTAATCGTTTATCCACACGAGGGTCGCAGGCGCACTGGAGCCTATCCCAGCTGTCTTCGGGCAGTAGGCGGAGTACTGTACACTCTGAACTGGTTGCCAGCCAATCGCAGGGCACACATATACGAACAACCATTATCACTCACAATCACACCTCAAAGTGATTTCCATCCATCCATTTGAACCTCTTTATCCTCACAAGGGTCGCGGGTCATGTTTTTGGAATACCAATACATTCTGTCTAATGATCATCATGTACATGCGTAATTGTTACATTTTAACACCGTACCAGTAGTATGGTTAAATGTTCGTTAGGCATTTTCTCAACTGCTTATCCTCAAGAGGGTCACGGGCGTGCTGGAGCCTATTTCCAGCTGCTTCGGGCACTAGGCGGGGTAAATGCCGAGCTGGTTGCCAGCCAGTCGCAGAGCACACATAAACAAACAACCATTCATACACACGCTCACACCTAAGGACAATTTAGAGTGATCAATTATCCACCGGTGCATGCTTTTGGAATGTGGGAGGAAACCAGAGTAGCCGTCGGAAACCCACGCCGTCACGGGGAGAATATGCAAACTACTCGCGCGTGCGCACACACACACACAAACTTATGTATATATAAATATATAATTTTATATTTGCTGTTATTATTACATATAGAAGAGATGATTCGCATTCGTTATACAATTAGAAAACTAAGTGGAACATAAATATTTAATTATTAAGAGTAAGAGTCTGTTCAATATTCTGTACGGCACTAGTTACATATGCGGTTGTTAAAGTGCTCAAGAAATGATGTTGAGTTGAGAATGACGAAAAACGGCTCAACTTTCAAAGAATTGGAATCTTCTGTCAAATTTCTTTACGGGGTTAACTCACCAGGAAGTAGTTTTTAAAGCTTTTAAACTGAAACATTAACCGGAAGCCGTGTGGCCCGTATCTTTTTGTGAACGGCACTAGTGTCTTGCAGTTACGGTACAGTACTGTCAACAACGAGAAGGGACGCTACCATGCAGCAGTTGATAACCGTTCCGTTGCTTCTGCTGCTGCTGCAGGGCTCGGTGCAGCTCCGACATTTGGAGGTTGAGGCGTCGAACGATGGACCCTCGCCCTGCCAGGCCCCGCTGCAGTGGGAGGGGAGGTGGGTTGTGTACGACCACGGCACGGGCAGGAACAACCGGGCCGCGGTGTCCTACGACGGACAAAACTACAGACTGCGGGTGCTGCAGCAGCACAAGAAGCACACGCCGTGTCAGAGGTGCAAAGAGCACACACACACCGCATGCACAGTAAAAAAGTTCGAAAGACAACCGAGTCAGCATTTTGATGCTAGTTGTTGCGAAACGCACGTTGTATTTATTCAGCACTTTTCCCAGAAAGGGCTCATGTAACGTGCGTTACACTGTTATAGAATGAAACACATCTCGTTGAATGTAAATCAGTGTAATGTGTTTATTTTAAGATGTTTTGTGTTTTTCTGCAGCAGTTACGTGGCAAGACTCAACTTGCTTGACTTGGTGCCGGTTTGACTTTGAATTGTCGGGGGTGGGGGAGCTTCTCGGGTTTCTTTTATTGCATTTTTCTCCCAAAAATAAGATGACAATGACATTATTCAACAACTTATGTTCTCTGCGTCCCTTTTCTTGGATTTGCTCTATCCCCCCCCCCCCAAGCTAGGAAACTTTTTTTTTTCCTTTGGATGTTTGTCCCCTGCATTGGTCCTCATTCACAAACTGCTTATGCTAAAAATGCCACGTACAAAATTTGCTTCACAAATCTGTGATTCATACTTGAATTCGTTTTGAGGTTGTGCTGCATGTGGGCAAGCAGCAGTGTGGCAGAGAATGAACAATTTTTTGAAAAAGAGGCTTCAAACTGTTTGTCACCAAACCCAGTTGAAGTTTAACCCTTTCATGCACCCTGTAACCTGATAACATGATAAGCTGTCCACTGGAGTAACCGCTGTTCCTGAAAGGGTTAATGTCAAACCAAACATAAGACAAAGACAATTATGTAGTTTTGCCAAGGAGAAAGTCTGTTTAGCTTTAACGCTAACAAATAATACATAACTGTCACAATGGATATTTAAAAAAATATTTAAAAAAACAAACTGGAGCAACACATGGAAACAGACAAGATAAAAATACTCACAGACCAGGGCCGGCGTGCGGATAGCGGAAATCCACGTATCATTGACACCAATTGAAAAGCCATGTTTAAAAAAGAAAATATTAATGAACACTTCATATACATTTTCCACGAAGAACAGGGGGAAAACAGGAATACCTATTTAAAAATATTGGGTGGAAAATAGTATGCAGAGGTCAACTCTATTCTCTGCCAAAATTCACTAATTTTCGTGCAGCAAACTGAGCTTAGTATCTGTATACAGTGGACCCCCATTGTTTTAGGTATATCGGGACCAAGCCCAAAATAGACACTCATTATAATTATCATGATTTTTTTGCTTCAATTTTTTTATGGAAAAAACAAGTGAGGGATTGTATTAAAAAAAAAAGGTCTGCAAAAACCAACCAACAACGTCTTTATTCTTGTCCTCATTGGATGCACAGGTACTTTGAGTTCATCTACTTGTACGCGAGCAAGCTAATGTTCCAGATCGACCAGAAGACGGGCGAATGCGCCAAGATTGAGCTGCCCGAGGCCTGGGACCCCTTTGACATTCCCGACAACTCCACCTTTGAGGACCAGTACATCATCGGCGGCCCCGGCGACAACGTGGAGGTGCAGGAGTGGTCCGACAGGAAGCCTGCACGCAAACGTGAGATCACACTTAAATGTTATCACACATTTTCAATTATATTTAAAAAAAAAAAAAAAACTGTCCAGGGTCTTTTTTAAAGCCACACACATTCTAAGTCACAGATGCTACAGTGAAGAGCATGAGGTTATGCGACCCCATGTTGATAAAAAAAAAAAAAATAACTGCACTGTATTTCATAAGCGCTCAACCACATTCCACTGTATGAAAAACACGTACAGTATCTCAAATGCCAAAGTTGTCCAAGCAGTGGCTTATATGTGAAAGTTGTATATTTGTACGTCTGTGTGTCAGATGAGACGTGGGTGGGCGTGTACACCCTGCGGGACTGCTACCCGGTTCAGGAGACATACATCAAGAACAGCAGCGTCACCACGTCCACGCGCTTCTTCAACCTGCAGCTGGGCATCAGCGACCCAAATGTCTTCACACCACCACCCAGCTGCCAGGCGGCCCGACCACACGCCATGGCCACTTCGCACTGCTGAGTTGCTCGGGTTCCGCTCGGGGCGCATCCGGGGTTGGACATCCCGAGGCAAGATATGGGATTTTTATTGCTTTTCATTTCATAATCAAACCAACAAGAGCGGAGCATGAGTCTTAAAAACGACACATTAAAAAATAGATTGTGAATGATTTATGTCTTCTACTTTGCCGAATAAATCATCCATGTAAACAAGCATTAAACAACCCCGTTCAATAATAAAGCAGTCTGTTTGTCTATATGTGCCCAGACAATGATTGTAGGGTCAAACAATTTGTTGTCTACTCTGGGAAAAAAAGAAAAAAGTTGGGTGGATTCAAAATTTCAAGGCAACAAACTCAGCCGAAATTTTAAGTTTGCCAATTCAACAAAATATATTAAGTTTTAATCACGTGAAACTTGGCTTTCCCGCAAGAAATGAGAATTTACAAAAGTAATTGTCCGTTGTATTGTCATCCAACTAAAACATAACAGCAAATCAGCAAATTATTTTGGAGAAAACAACATGCTAACTTTATTGTGCTAATTAACATTGTTGCCATAAAACTTGTTGCAACTGAAATGATTGTTTTAGCCTGCCCCAAAAAAACACAAGTTATGTTTTTTAAAGTGTGTGCGTCCCTAAAATGATCTATTACTAATATTTATTTGATTTTGGAAAATAATCCATAAATTCTTAATTTTATTTTACTTTATTTGTACTTTTATTTTTTAGATTTACAGTTGTCTACGTATATTTGTTGCTGACATGACGTTGCAATACCCGGTTTATCCACCGAGCGATTAAGAGGCACCATAACCACAAGCAACCAACGAAGAAGAAGCGGTTCAAAGGTTACCTGTAAGCGTCACTCGCGACGCAGTTCGAGAACACGTTTAAGACTTCATCTCAAACATATTCGCACTGTATCTCTATTCTGCCCGTGAAGGAAGTAAGTATGAACAACCCGAACATGTTTTAGTGTGACCATCAAATGGGTCAAATAATCGCCCGTTAATGTTTCTATATATTTTCAATTTCTTGACATTCAATTTGGACACGCAAGCTAGCCTAAGCTAACAGTCGAGCTAAACAGGATTGCATGCTTTTAAATAGCAACAAAAGAACGAGAGGGGGAAAAACTCATTAACGATGGAACCACTCCTGATGAAAACAATTTTTGTAGACAGCTGACATTTTATTTATCAACACATCATTTGCCGAACCATTTCCAATTATACACATTGACGTAGGTGTGTGTAAAATTTCAAATACTGACAGATGAACTTGAGACCAGCATTATCACACAAATATTTTGAAGACAGAGACAGTGTAATTATGAAAAGTTGTGTTCGAGGTGTTAATTTGTAGAACTGAAAGGAAAAGGTGTGAATCACTTTCTGTGTTAAAAAGAATTTAGAAGCAAAGTACCCCAAAATCGTATAAATCGGTGAAACTGCAGAAAAGTCTGACCTTTCGGGTCATATTTCTTGAGTGCAACGTAAAATATATGTGTGAGTAATCATTTGAAAATGTGTTAAGGTGTGTGCAAATGTACATTTCGCCACAAATGTACCATACCAAGTTTCTCAATAAAATCAGTTCTCGTCTTTATGATAAACTTCCCATTCATTTCTATCATTTGTTTTTATTTCTTAACCCTTCAAATTACATTTTGTGCAATCAAAAGTTTACGGAAAGTCAAATTAAGTCCAACCCAAAAGTTTAAGGTGCATTTTCAGTTCATCCTGAAATTTCACCCTACAGCCTGATGTTGTTACGGATCATATAAAGGGAGGGAAACTGTTATCCTGTCTGATTAAGTAAAAAAAAAAAAAACAAAAAAAAAAACAAAGGAAGAATCAATTGTCAAAGTAATCTTGAGTTGCAGCCCTATCACATATGTTGTGAGAGTAATGTGTTGCACTAATACTGTGTTCAGGCCGCTATGTCGTCCTACACGTGCATCAGCTGCCGCGTGGCCTTCTCCGACGGCGAGGTGCAGCGCGCCCACTACAAGAGCGACTGGCACCGCTACAACCTGAAGCGCAAGGTTGCCGACATGCCCCCTGTCAGCGCTGACAACTTCCAGGAGCGCGTCCTGTCGCAGCGCGCCGCCGCCGAGCGCCAGCTGAGTGACACCGTCGAGGCCTGCTCCATCTGCAACAAAAAGTTCTCCAGCAACAACGCCTTCCAGAACCACCTGCGGTCGCAGCGCCACCAGCAGGCCGAGCGTCGCGCCCAGGAGGCCGCCCGCCAGAAGGTGGACAAACTTAACCAGAAGAACCTGGAGAAAGGGCTCGCGGGCGAAGACAAGGCGGACCGAGACGCCAGGAACGAGGCTCTGCAGCAGGCCCTCAAGGAGGAGCGGAGTGCCCGGCGGCCCGGTACGGGTGGGGAAGAGGCGCCAGCTCGCAGCAAGCCGGAAAAACCTCCGCGACTCATGTGGCTGGAGGAGCAGGCCAAGCGGAGAGAGAAGGAGGAAGGGCCTGCCATCGAGGAAGGTCAGCGCTTTCAAGTTTTTAAACAATACAGCATCGCTAGCATTTGCGATATCGTGAATTTGCGTTGAACAAAACTTGTGTGTTGTGTTGTCATGGCATCAGAGGAGCAAGGTTATTGTAGTTAATGAACACTCAGGGCTACCTAAAATTGAAATGACATTTTTGTTCACAAAATAAAATCAAAAGATTGCTCAAAAAAAAGAACTTAAATTGTATTTATAATCGTAGTTTCAGTTTACATTCTTACACAGTACTTACTGTTACACTTTTTTTCAGATTGCAATTGACACATACTCCATATATTAAATAACTAAAACGAATGGAAACTAAATTAAAATGAAACATTTTCGAAAATGATAAAAATGAAGCAACAGACTCGAAAAACATGTTGAAACGAACTGATTTATGAAAATAAAAAAACAAATGTCAAAATGAAGTAAAAAAAATCTATCATGGAAAAATCCCAAGCTTTTGTAAACCTGCAGAGGAGTGGGAGGACATGGATGAAGATGGGGATGATGAGGAAGACCTGGAGGACATGGAGGAAGAGGATGAAGATGAGACCATCGAGGATAAGGAAGAAGATTCAACCACTTCGTCCAACCCGCAGCGGCTAGCTGCCCCCGCCCTCCCCGGTTCCATCCCCATCACCGACTGCCTGTTCTGCTCGCATCATTCCAAGTCACTGATGCGCAATGTCGCCCACATGACGCACGTTCACAGCTTCTTCATCCCGGACCTTCAGTACCTGGTGGACCTCAGGGGTCTGGTCCGCTACCTCGGTAAGTCTCAGTTCTGCTCACCGGTAGACATTGATGTGTTACGTACAGATGAGTGGTTTGTAAGGCCACCAACATCAGTTTCCCCAGTCAACAAAAAAATTGGTGGGTCAGGTCTATCGGAACAGGCTGCACCAAAAAGTCTTGAAGACCTATGCACAAATTGGAAAAGGATATCGTCCATTTTAGTTCAAATCAACAGTTTAGGGCGAATTCCGGGCTTTGTAATTTGACAAAATCCAATGATGACATTTTCTTTGATTTTGTGTTGCACGGCTGTGCTCTGTTGTTTTTGTTGTTTAGGCGAGAAGGTGGGCGCGGGCAACGTGTGCCTGTGGTGCAACGAGAAGGGACGCTCCTTTTACTCCACAGAAGCCGTGCAGAAACACATGACAGACAAAAGCCACTGCAAGCTCTTCACGGACGGGGACGCCGCGCTGGAGTTCGCCGACTTTTACGACTTCAGGTAACCACGGAGGTGAAGTTACTCATGACCCAAATCGGGTCTCACCAACGCAACCAACCTCTGCCCCATTACATAGTGGACATTGATAGGGATATTTACACAATAGATGATATAGTTCATTATGAAGTACACTAAAAATCCCTATCAAGTGAAAGAAGCGTAGTTGACTAAAAAGTCCTGTAAAAATCTCATTGTAGTGATTGGAGAGCTGGGAATGAGTGAATGATTCCCAAGGCAGTCACTGTGTCTGAAATCGTTCACTCACTTGCAATTATCACTAATAAAAAATCCCCGCTCCGAGGAAGCTACTCTCACTTTAATTGGGCAAGAGGAGATGAGGGAATGATTTTGAATGAGTGAACAATTCCAATGTTGTTGTTGTTTGGGTAATAGGAGCAGCTACCCAGACAGAGGGGAGGGGCGTGACGATGACATGGACGACGAGCTTTCCGACGACAAGAACATCCATTACGACGACGAGACAATGGAGCTCACACTTCCATCAGGTGAGTGTCACGGAGGACCTGAGGATATAAGGTCTCATCTTTTCTTTAAAAAAGTGCCTTGAGCTGCATATCTGATAACTCTCTTTCCAATTTTTATTTTATTTTTTTGGTTTTTGTTCAGGCGCCAGGATCGGCCATCGTTCCCTCATGCGCTACTACAAGCAACGCTTTGGAACCGAGAGGACCCTGGCCCTGAGTCACAACAGGAACGCAGTGGGACGGGTGTTGCGCCAATACAAAGCGCTTGGATGGGGCGGCGATTCAGGTATGTCACAAATGCATAAAATCTGCTGTCTCAAGAAACTATATCGTTCCCTTTCATGAGCAAATGCAGTCAGTTTTCACAGGTTTTGAGTTATCCAAGCACTAATGAGGAGTATTGGATCTTTCTGTGCCTTAAAGGCATGAAAGTCATTAAAAAACTAAATGTTGAGTCACTGTACCAAATTACAGTTAAAAAATACAGTGTTGCAAATACAAAGATTTGTGTTTAAAAAAAAAAAACAAAAAAAAAAACAGTAGGGGGCTGAGGGTAGAGCCTTGTGGAACACCCACATTCACAATTATGTGGCATTACATGGGAAATGATTCTGAATGATTTTCTGTTTTTATAGACAATCAAGAGACATTGAGAGACGCCTAAAATTATTAAGACATATATTCTTTAGCACCTGTTCTCACTCTCATACTGTCAACAAAATGTAAGACTGTAGAAATTACTCTTACTCGCAGTTTGGAGGTCTTAATTGGTCACTCCTAACTGAGATTTATTATTGAAATAAAAACAAACATTGCATATTTAAACACCCAACATGATCGAACAAATCATTTGATTTCATCTAATGAAATTCTAATCGCTTACTGCTAACATAATGCAAAATGCTATCGATGGTTTAGCGGGAATTAGCATCAGTGTTACCGTGATTCTAAAACTTCAAACAACTGTTGCGAGAACACACACAGAGCAGCAGCACATACAATTCAGATCTTACAACAATACTCAGCAAAATTTTCTCGCTGTGGTCTGGGAACAGTGACTCTCTCTTTCTTAATTATGTTTCATCCCTCGACCTTGATAACATGTCCAATCTCCACTATGTTGTCCATTAGGCCTGAGTGGCATGCGTCCCGCTCCTCGTGACATGCAGTACGTGCAGATGATGAAGTCCAAGTGGATGCTGAAGATGGGCATGAGTCACAACGCCACCAAGCAGAAACATTTCCGCCCGCAAGTCATCTTCTGAGACCTCAGCATGGAACTCTGTGTTTTCGAAACGCGACAGCTTTCGTGTAAATCTGTGACCTGAAAATTACCACAGCGTTACCTTGGGATACGCGCAACGAGATATGGGTCCCCATTTGGGTGATTATTTTTTGGACTCCCGAGTGAAAATTTGAGATGGGTTCGCTGTATGGTGGCAAAGAAAGCTGTTAATTGCCGCCCCCAGTATAAGTTTGCTGTCAGAAAAAAAAGCTAACAAAGCGAAAACAACCACATAGATTTGTTGCTAGCTTAATGCTAATATATCATGGGAAACACCATCGACTCTCTAACCAATAGGATCTACGTGGTGGTGTTTTAACAGTGTAAACATATTTTTAAAATTCATTTTGAACTTGAATAAAATGCTTAAAAAAAACTATAATGCACTAACTTGTGAAAAAAATATAAGCAAATCAAAAAATAGATAAAAACCCCTTAAAGATTAGAAATGGTTAACATAAACTTTATATTGCCCCCAGGTGGCCAAGGCGCACACACCAGAAAAAACAGCACAATGCACATCGAGCTGAAGCAAAAAGTGTGACAAAAACAGTTTAATTCCTTAGTCTATTTACAGATGTCATTGTTGTACAGTATGTTACAAGAAAATATAATACAGCACCGTGATATTTTTCTTTAGTAAAATACACATCGCAATTATTTTGTGGGTGGGAATTTGAACGGATTAATGGTCTTTCCATTAATTTCAAGAGGGAAAGATGGTTTGAGGTACAAGTGTTTTGAGTAACAAGCACAGCCACAGAATAAATTCAAATCGTACCTCAAGGTGCCCTGATAATCCCTGCCGCCCCCCCCCCCTTCACTTTTTTCTGCATCAAGCTGGACAGCAAAATTTGCAACATCTGAACACTTTTGCAACCTTGTGGACAAGACATACAAATGGAGATGATGTCAAACGAATATTGAGAATGCAGTTAAATGTCAACAGATGACTGTTCTAATAAACCATTTGAACGCAACAAAAATATTTTCCTGTTCATTTTTTTGATCACATTTGAACACGTTGGGGTAACTGAAATTGGCCAAGAGCGGCAGGCTGCACTCTGGACTGATTGCTGGGCAGTCAGTCTGTTTAGAGTCGCGAAACAATGGATGAAAGCTTGCCAGTAAACAAATGACTGGTCGCGAAGCATTCCCACTTGCATTCACGCTGTTGACAATTCCTTAAATTTTCAATGACGTTTTTGGAATCTGAGATGGAAAAACACGTGGGGACCTCAGCCCAGGTTTGAACCCAGAACCTCTTGACTGAAGCAAATATGGTGACCACTTGGTCTGTTGCCGAATAATTATATACAGTATAACGATGTAATTTTTAAAAATAGATTGTTTTAATTTGAAAGTGCAGAATGGATATACTCTAACTTTGAAAGTAATCTTCCGGTGTGTCTCGATTAAGGCAGGAGGTCGACCGGACGCATTCTTGTTTTCTTTGAAAATTCCCAAAGATTTCACGGTCAAAACGCCAAGGGGAAAATTTTTATTTGCAACCGGAATCTGGAGAAAGACGGACGATTGTCTACACGTAAGTTTGATTTTTGTCTTTTCGTTGATTAAAGTCACTTTGTGGGCACTGAACAACACGGAATGTGAACAACGATGTAATCGCGTTGCTGCACAACTTTGCCAAACAACTCATTCGACAACACGGTGAAAGTGGCGTTTGTTGAATTATATCGTCATCAAGTGAAAGGTTCCAATTAATGCATGTATTTAATTACTTTTATTAAATCGAAGTACAAGAACGTGACTAAATAGGACAAATATGTGAGGCACGCAGCTAAAAATAATCTCCGCGTCATCTAAATATTTATTGCCTAGAGACAATTTACTTTAAGATGTAAAGTTTAATCTTTTTCTTTAATAAAACGTTTGATGTATTTTTAAAAAAAACGCAAAATGTTATCTTTCTGTTGTGGCTTTATGTCCACTTCCGGTGACGCGTTTGGCTCCAGCATCAGCACCTCGACGCAAAGCATGCTGGGCAACTCATGATCAGATGCACGGAGGAAAAAAAAAAAAACAGGAAGTGACATGAAAATAAAGTCAAACTGTGTGGTGTTGAGGACATGAAGAGATAATTTTTCGTTAAGTGAGTAATGTGGACGACATGACGAAATAGCACAAACACACTTGCGTGTGAAATAGCACACACACACACACACACACACACACACACACACACACACACACACACACACACACACACACTGGCCCAGAGTACAGCGTGTCCCTTGCTTGAGTTTTTGTACATGACCATGAGCTCACCCAAAAAGAGAGGGCGTGGATCCCCCCCGCTCCCTCAAGAGCTTTCAACATGACCAATAAGTGGACATTTGTTGAGCTGAAACCGGAGCGGTCGCCCATTTCCTGCCTACAAACGCCCTCTTGTTCATCTCTGCTCTGTGACAACTTTGACGTTCGATATGAAGTCACCCACATTCAGGACATGACTTCAGTTCCTGTTTCCCTGATTTTGTTGATCACACCACTCACGGGAAGTTTACGCTTGTTTTTCATTTTGGGTACTGTGACTGGTCGCTCATCCGGCAGATGGATGGCAGCAGTAACTGAAGACATCCCGATAAGACGCTCCCATCCTTCTTTGGTCTCTTCACCTTGTTGAAGAAACGAGATGTCGTTCTTCTCTGGAGCACTGACCAGTACGTCAACCTTTTCGGCTCTTCCTCATCGTCATCATCATCTTCATCATCACTCACTCGATGCTCATATGAGCTAATGCTGATTTCCTCTTCAGGTTCGCCAATAAAACGACACCTGAGGTCTAGCTCCGCCCACCAGAGGTAACAGCGCCAGCTTGACTTGTTGCATGCGCTTTTGTCTCCGCCCTGTTGGGCCACAGTGGAATTGATTCATATTGATTCAAGATCATGTGACTTATGGCTACTTCCTGTTTCACAATCAACTCATGTCCACCTTCTGTTTAGCTGTCATGACTTATGTCCTCTTCCGGTTTTGCTATTACCTGATTTATGTCCACTTCCTGTTTCAGAATCATCTGACTTCTGTCCATTTTGCTTCCACATGATCATGAACAATGTGCCTGCGTCCGTTTCAGCCTGGACGTGTCCCTGCTGTCTCCCGACTCGTCGTACTTGTGCTACTCTTCGTCGACGTCGGCGGGGTCCCCGTCGGACGGCTACGTTCATTCCCGCTGCTGCCGCCGTTCGCCCCGCCTCCTCACCAACGGCTACTATGCCGTGACCGACGACAGCTTCCTGTGGGACGAGGACGGCAACGTGTCGCTGACGCCCTGCGCCGCCAGCGTGTCTTACAAGGAGAATGTTTTCAGGTGGGAATGGGCTGACTGGTCGTTTGCTGAGCTGACTCGGTCGATGGTTGGGTTGATTGTTCGGACTGTGGTTTTGTCATCGAAGCGTACCCTATTGTTGCCTTTGCTTTTGTCAGGGTATTCCGGAGGCGGCGACGTAAAATGGGCAGTTCCCTGGCTCGCCTGCTGAGCGATGTCAGCGAGAGCTGCCAGACTTGGCTGGACAACAGGGTCTTTGGGGGTGTCTTTCGGAGGGGCCAGGATCAGGCCCTGGACTTGGATCCAAAGAGAGACCACCAGAAACAGGATGTGATCCAGAACCAGGACCAAGACTGGGCCCAGGAGGAAGGAATCACTTCCCTGGAAGAGCCGAGTTGGTGCAATCTCAGCCGCTCCCAAGCTGACAACAGCTGCAGCTTCTTCACTTACGGTGAGATTCTAACCCAGATGCTCCAAACAGCGAGGCAGACGTGCTCTCCACCGTTGTACCATTTTATATATTTTGTATTGAATATTCAGTAGCTACAGTCTTTTGATTTGGCATTTTTCTGGCGTCAGATCCGAGTGAAGTGGCGCCCCCTCCTGACAAAGAGGCCCCACCCACTAAGCAGATGATCCAGGAGGAGATTTGCTCGGAAATCTGTCAATCAACCGAGCGCTGTGCCCAGTCACTCAGCGGGCTCTCTGAGGTCCCGCCTCCTTCCACCTTTTACAACAACGCCTGCCGGCAGCCTGACGTGCCTCAACGCACAGGTAGTTTCTTTATTCACTATTATTATTATTCTTATACTGATTTGGTTCTCAAAGGTTTTCCTTTTATTCCATATAAAACATGAAGATTTTACAATTTTTATTTCCTGTTATTAGATTTCTTTTTCTTTTAATTGTATTACTTTTAACCCTTTCAGGGACAGCTTACTTAGGTTACTACAGTGGACTGCTTATCATGTTACCAGGTTATGAAAGGGTTAATGTCGTTTTTTAGATTGATTCGAACTTCTTTGTATTTTTATGACAAAATATATTTTTTAAACTTTTTTGTTTTTATTTCAAAATCACTTTGTTTTTTTAAATTACTTTTACCTTTATTTTATTCATACTTTTATTATTTTTATTCTGTTACTGTTCTTACAGATTTTTAATCATTATTAACCTTTGTTTCGAATCATGTGTTAATTTATCACTTACACACGAGATTTTATATTCTTTGCCCGTCTTGTGCGTTTCAGGTGTAACACCGATGACTCTTTTCGCTTTGGTCTTCGTCGTCTCCGTTTTCATGATGCTCAGCTCGGGGTAAACTTTTGATGTTTTCATTTTGAACTTATGACTGGTGAATACGTTTTTTTTTTTTTTTTCTCCAAATGACGGCTACACAGCTTGCGTCATGTTGTGAACGCATCATTTCCTTTCTCAGGTGTTTCGTGCGCAGTGCGGGGGCATGTGTTGCAGCGGCGGCGTGCGCAATAACGGCCACGTGGCTGTGTGAGTGTTACACGATCAATTGGAACGAACGCTTGATGTTTGCTGTGTTCTTTTGATGCAACGCAACAACATTATCGACGCATTTCAGGTGCGAGCAGGTCGACTCGGCTGGGAGGAGGCTGGAGGTGTGCCAAAACCGAGGTGAGTCAGTTGCACGCCCACAAAGTCCATTCTGAGATTTGGTTCCAAAAACTGAAGGAATTTTTTTCCCCCCCAAAAGTACACCGTAAATCCAACTTGAGATAATAAATACAACCTAACTGATGACTGCAGGAAGCAATCGTTTTATTTTTTTTTAAGCTTCATATAAAAGGACCGAAGTAAATAAAGTAATAACGACCACAATATTCATGAATGTATTTAAAAAAAATGGAAAAATCCCTCAAAATTTGAAACCTATTTTTATTTTTTTTTTCTCCAACTTTCAGGACATCACTTCACGCAATGAGTGACCTGCGAGATCCTCCCGCCCCTTACACACACACACACACACACACGCATTTTTTTTTTTGTGATCACAGCTCAATGACGAGTGTCCCAACAAAACCACTCTGACATTTAATTAAGAGAAATAAAAAAATTATTGCGTGCCAAATAAACAAAAGACAATCCGGAGGAAACATTTGTGTTCCTTCCATCTATTGTGCCCTTAGTTGCCATGGCAACCAATGATGCGATTGTCATCACCATGGTGACCAAACTTGTCCTTGATGATAAGAGTTTGTGAAAACTTGCACACAGAATGTGACATCCTTGTCATGACATTTACCTCTCCACGCTCACCTAAAAAAAATATCAAAAGGAAAAAAAAACCTCACACACACAAAAGCAGTGTGAGAGAGGTGTTTTTGTTTTAATGAGGTTTTTAACTAAGGCTTTGTTTTTTTAATCTGTCATGTTTTGGGTTTGTTTGTGCGTGTGTTTATTGTTGAGTGTCAGAGGTTTTCTGGTTTGAGTTTTTTGTCATGGGTGAGAGGTTTTTTTTGTTTGTTTTTTGTCACACAAGAAATAGATTTTTCAAGCACTAACTGAACTTGGGGACATCTCTCTTAGACATTGGTAATGTCTTGCTCAATTAAGGGCTCGTTTGCATATTTGATTGTATTGAGGAAAAAGGGCCAAATGTGGTGTTTTTATTGACTGAAATATTTTTAGGTCCTCATTGGGTCACCAAATGCATCGGCATTA